TACATTTATTAACATGTTTGGTACACACAGTTTTACATTTTTGTACTACATTATTCTACTTCATATGATCTAAGTTAACCTTTGAGTCTCATCTGAACACAGAGCAGGGTTACAACTTCAGCTTCCTCTTAACTAATAAAACTACTCTAAACTGGGACACTAAACTAATGCTGAAAGACTGCCAGTAACATGTTACCTAACCCAGCATGACGTGTACGCTTGACAATCAATAACTGCTCTTATATTAGTTAGTAAAATTGTACATTCAGTGAAACAAAAGCACACACAGCACAAACACATATTTAATCTGAGTATTTTCCTGGATCTTGTTGATCTGACTTTAATGAGCTGCTGCAGCTGATAATTGATTGTTACTGTATTCTGCACGCCTTCATTTTAATGGCAACAGCAACAGCACCTGCTACTGCATTTGGCACACCTGCAGCAGCTACTACACCAGCACCTACCACTGCAGCTCCAATAATTGCTAGAATGCCCCACTTGATAAACGAGTTGTCTCTCTCTGCTTGTCTTCTTGCATCTTTGGGCTCCATCTGTGGGTTTTCTCTAAGAAGTTTTCTCGTCTCTTCTCTGATGACTCTCTCTGCCTTTTCAAACTTCTCATTGATGTAGTGTCTCCCTCCATTTATTTGAACCATGGTGTTGATCTTGTCCAGCAGCTCTCTGACCTGAGCAGGATCGGTGCTTCTGTTGTTAAAAACATGATGTCGTCCTCCACACTGACTGATGAATTCACTGAGACCTTTATTACAATTGATTAATTCTTCTATGGTGATTCTTTCAGCCTGCAGATCGTCTCCACGGGTGAACAGGACAATAGTGTAACCTGCCGCTTCTTCTCCAAACATCTGCTGAATAATTCTCACAGTTTCTTGTTCTTCATTGGTGAATCTGTTTGTCTGGATCACAATCAGGAACACATGAGGACCAGGAGCAGCAAAGCAGATGCATTGAGCGATCTGTCTCTTCGCCTCCTCTTCAGTTACTTTGGGGCCAAACAGACCAGGAGTATCAACCACAGCCAGGCTCTGTCCTTCAAACTGACCTGTTTTTTTCTCACACTTTGATGTCACTGGCGAAGGTGATAGTTTAGATTCAAAAGCCCTTTCCCCTAAGATGGTGTTTCCTACTGCACTTTTCCCAACTCCGGTTTTCCCAACAAGTGTAATTCTGAGCTGTCGTTCTTCCTTATCTGGAGAATTTTACAAAGTCATCACCAATGTTATTAAAGTGCAAACTCTGAATCCATTATATTATTATAACCGCTATATTATTTAAATACATGCAACTACATGAAACATATGGATGTGATCCCTCTTTATCATTTTGGAGCCAAAAAAGGAGCTGAAGCCTGCGAGACAGGCTGAGAAATGGAGTTGTCCACTATGAAGTTCAACATTTTCAAGGTATATTTTCTTCATCTGGCTTTATTTACCCTCATCAAATAGCAGACACACAAATTTGAGGAGGTTTATCAGTCTGGCTATGAGTGCACTAGCATGAATGGGGTCAGTTTGAGGTTGAGACCAATAAGTCATCCTCTACATTCTCCCTGGATCTGTGATCATGGACCTAATGGGATTTAAAGTAAGTTTTACTCAACTAAAGTTCCCTCAGAACGTTGCAAAAACATCACTCCGGCCAGACATGATAATTATTTCTGTGGCCTCAAAACAGCTGATCATGCTGGAACTCACAGTGCCCTGGGAAGAGCGGATTGAGGAAGCCAATGAAAGGAAACGAGGAAAGTACCAGGAACTAGTGCAGGAGTGCAGAGGAAGGGGTTGGAAGACTTTCTATGAGCCCATAGAAGTGGGTTGTAGGGGCTTTGCAGGACGATCACTCTGCAAAGTCCTAGGCCGGCTGGGCGTGGCTGGGGCAGCCAAGAAGAGGGCCATCCAGGCTGTGAGTGAAGCAGCAGAGAAAGCCACAAGGTGGCTGTCGATCAAGAGGGCTGATCCGTGGGTAGCTACTGGTACACAAGTCGGGGCCTGATCACCCCCGGCTGGGTCGCCTGGGCAAGGGTGTGTGATGTTGTGAGACCCGAAACACCTGATGACCCCAGGATACATCACTGAAGATGCGTACCAGTGCATCCAGGAGATGTGTCTTTATAGTACTCATATAGCAACAAATCACAGCAATAGTCCCCTCAAGTGGCTGTAAGCTGTAAGATGAATACCAGGCTATATTTAAAGTATATTGTATTATTTAAATGTGATGTAATCTGTTCAGAGATCTATTTTATCTGCTGTTCATGACACTGGGAGGATACTAATTGCTCCAAAGTAGGATAGTGCTAGAAAAATTATTAAATTAATTAACACTCTTTACAGTAAAGAATGAATTTATCTCTCTCTGTTTCTATAATTTGTCTTTCTCTCAGGCCTCATTGTGTCTCCTCTGATATCTGTTATCCACAGCACAGTTAGGATCGTGTACGAGTGCACCACAAAACTGAACTTTTTCTCTGTAAGAGTATCACACACATATCTGTTCCCAGCATAACATAGGAAGAAGTGTATAAATGAAACTCACAGGACTGCCACAGTGAGCACTGACATAGACGTTCACTGTGTTTGCTTTTGCTTTCTTGCTTGTAAAGTAAACGTGTTGGAGCTCGCTACTCTGTGTGTCTCACTCCATAAGAAGATTCTTCTCACAGATACTAATCATGTGAATATGATTTAAACACAGATGTGATTACTGCAGTTTTCCAAACACTTGGAAACACTGGGAACATCAGTCTTTATAGGAATGAAAGAATACATTTATCCTGGGACATTTGAAGTGAGACATTTAACAGAGCCAGTAATTATTAAATGTTGTTGCTACTGTACTTGGATCATGAACAAATAGAGAAATAAATACTAGGATCAAAGTTCAGTTGTCTCTTGAACTTTTTTACTCTCTGACCAAAATGAACATAAAGATAAGTAACATTAAATAAGTATGAAAATTGTAAAAGGTCTTACCAAGCCAAGAATACTGGTCATTCATATTTGTTTCAGGTATTTGATGTGTGAAGTATCACTGCTGATGTTGTGGCATGAATGGTTTCCTGCTCATATCAGCTCTTTGTTAATAGTCTGCTTTAGTCTCCTCCCTCTGAGGGTGTTCATTTACAACTCAGAGCTGCAGACTTTCTGTACTTAAGCAAAAGTGAAAATACTACTGTTAAAAAATACTGCACTAAATGTTGAAGTACTGATTCAACTTCTTTACTCAAGTAAAAGTAAAAATGTATAGTGTCTGAAATGTACTCAAAGAAATTAGAAGTAGGTCTTTGGAGGACGTTTTTATTTTTATGCAAAGATAACTGAATATTGTTGAAAAAATAATATCAGTAGATGTGAACACAAACACTGGTCGAACATTTTTATTCTAATTACAATCAGCTGACAAAAAAGTTTGACAGTTTCCTGTTTCCAGTTTTCTTTGTGTCTTCAATATCTTCTAGCAAAATCATTATATCAGAATAAAATAAAGAAAACATAAAATAAACAAAAAATATGTTTAAAAAGTCATACCCTGAAATTTACTCTTAGCCAACTATACACAGTCTATAGCCCTAAACTGAGGGGTTAAGAGAACCAGATACCTTTACTCTACAAAATCTTATCTCAGCGCTGAAACAAAGTCCACCCATTTTTCCCCAGAAAAACTTCCATTTGCCCAACATAGTCTATTGAAAAAACTTAACCTTTCCATCATATACATATTACGCGTGTCTTCAATCCAGTCATCCTTCTTAGGGCGACCTTTCTGCTCCCTTTCAAGTTTCCCAATTCTATATACAATTTTTAGATTTTTTTTCCAAGTTTATTCTTGTGCTAAAATTAACATCTTTGTGATCCCTGACTCAAGGTCATCAAACAGAAACCTTATTAATTGTCCCACATAGTTTCCTTAATTGCAAGATTTAAGGAATTAGAATTGAGGAAATCATTATTTAAACCATATTGGTTCTTTATGTCCTCAGAACCTCTTATGGCTTTCTTCTTCACCAATATTTTTGGTCCCCTTCTCCACATACCAAATGCTTTGTCAGTTGCATCATTTGTCAAATCTCAGTCATGTGCAATCCATTTTAGTAATCTGCTCTGCTCTGTCAAATCATTTTTGGAAACTATATTGTCTCAAATTTTGAGGGATACTGATAAATGCACATTCCACCAGGTGTTGGGAATGGACTAAAGGATGGGAATCTCACCCCACTGAACCCAGTCACCGTTAGGTTTGCTCTTCCTTGCCCTATTATTTAAATAGTAGTACACTCAGAGTTCTTTTGATGTATGGTAAATGGCCTGTATTTGTATAGCGCTTTACTTAGTCCCCAAGGACCTCAAAGCGCTTTACACTACATTCAGTCATTCACCCATTCACATACACTGGTGATGGCAAGCTACATTGTAGCCACAGCTGCCCTGGGGCACACTGACAGAGGTGAGGCTACCGGACACTGGAACCACCAGGCCCTCTGACCACCACCAGTAGGAAACGGGTCTTGCCCAAGGACACAATGACAGAGACTGTCGGAGCCGGGGCTCGAACCGGCAACCTTTCAATTACAAGACGAACAGCCCACTCTTGAGCCACGATCGCCCCAACTCTTGAGCCACGATGTATGCTCAGGTCAGTCTATTCTTTCTGTATTACAAAGCAGGCAGTGCTGGATGGGAACAGCTCATAGTCTCATGTACTTTCTTTGTCATGGGCATAATGAGCATGAATAAATATTTTGTTTATTGTTCCCAGCCAGCAGACATTAAAGAGAAAACTCTAAATGTGCCTGTAAAAGTGTGAATTTCTTTATTCTGTAAATGAAGCAAAGTTCAATGGGGAAGATCTGTATTCATTCACCTCCATTCATTCCTGGTCATGCAATGCTTTTAGTCTCAGTGCACTTCTATTATTCTGCATTTAAGACTCTCAATCATGCAACCCGTCTCAAAAAATGCAACAAGGTGGAGATTATTGTCTCCACCTTGTTGCATTTCTTTTCACTATCAGCATCTAGCCTCCATAATGTCCTACCCTATTTTCTGAATCTTCTCACCATGCACATGAATGTTTAAGCCAAATTAAATGTAAAATAGTTGTAAGATGCATGTAGGGTAATAGTACCAAATTAATAGGGAAGTTATTAGTTAACATACAAGATCCTGTATCACATAATTAATAGAAGCCATGAGGTATAAAATGCCAAAACAAATCATTACAAGGAAGGAATGAAACATCCTGTAACATGTACACTGCCACTTTAAATGTCCATGTTCTCAGCCTTATCCTTTGACAAGATCACGTGTGCCAGGTTACCAGTCTGTTTGTCCAGCCTTTGGTTAGAGTTCTGTTGTTTGAATTCAGTCTATAAAGCAGTGTGCTTCAGTTCTATTGCTGCTTTTTGACATCCAGGCCCAATGAAGTTTGTGGTTCTGTTAGTCCTCATTGTTGGAGTGAGTTGCATGCTCTGCTGTGGCTGTGGGTCCTGGGTCGTTCGGCACAGTGTTTTGAGTTTCTTTGTATTTTGTTATTTATTTGTGTTCTAGTTTTATTTCAGTTTATCTAGTTAAATTCGGTCATGCCTAGGTTACAGTTATAGTTCATGATTTAGTAGATTCCCCTTGTGTCTGAACCCAGTCACCGCCCGGTGTTTTGGTCTCCCTTGCACTTCCTGTTGTCATATCTGCATCTGGTCATGTTTACTGTTTATTTTGAAAGTCTTGTTTATGTGTTCTTTCTGTTTAGGTTCCCTTCCTCTGTGGTGTCATTTGCTTCATTCTAGTCAGCTCTTTCCTCATTTGTCTCCACTTCCCCTGATCACCACCTGTGTTTATTCAAGTCCTCTGTCTTCCTGTGTTCAGTGCCACGTCATCTGTGATACTACCCTCCATGTTTCGTCACAGTCATCATAGCAGTCTTCATAGTATCATAGTTGTACTCTTAGTTGAAATCATATTTGCAATCATAGTTTCTCAGGTATTCATAGTTACCATAGTTTATTTTTCCTAGTATATGTTTTAGTTTTCCTTAATTCTCCTTTGCTTCATGTTTTTGAGTATCAGCCCCAAAGAAAGGCTCGCTTTTGGTTCAAGGTTAGTGTTATGGCCCTGGCCATAATCTGTTTTGGTGGCTGTTTCTTTGTCTGTGTCTTTAAGTCTTTGCAGGTGCCTGAGTGGATGAGCTGACGGCTGCTGATTGGTCCCCCGGTCATGTGGTTTTACTCAAAATCCCTCACCAGCAGTTGTCCCGGGGGAGCCACTGACAGCAGCAGCAGACCTGACCCTGGCCTCCAAAACCTGTGACATTTGTGCCTGTGACTTTTGCGACTTTCTGAGTTCTGTATATAGTGTGTACATTCGTTTTCATTGTAAATAGCACTGGAACAGAAGGGGTGAGCTGCCTTATTGTTTTCCCTTGCACTGTTTTCTCCTGTTTATCTCAGTTAGGGAGTTAGGTGTAGCGCTTGTCTTTTGTTTATTTTTGATTTCACATAGGGTTTTAGATAGCACCTCCTCCTGACTTAGCTTGTTTTGTT